TCTTATTATCTCTTTATATATGTATCTTATTTTTTGATGACGAGGAACGATACAATACATATCCACAGCACACAGCTAAAAGCCCCTGTATTTTTGCAAAATTTCCCTATTTCCCAGCTTCCTCCTCCTACCAAATAGCTTGCTTTCTTATCTCCAAAACTCCTTTTTTTTTTCTTTCTCAGTTTACTTTACAAACCCCAGTTTGTATCTTTGTTCACCCTTCAGTTTCTGCAATGGATGATCGCAAAGAGGTAAAGAATTTTTTTTTTCTGATTTTACTTCATTATTTTCTTGAAAATTCAGAGTTGGAAAACAGTTTCTTGGTTTTCTTTTAATGAAGTTCATCATATACTTTGATTCCTTTTTTGCATTGTCCACATGAACTAGACTATACCCTTTGCTAAAAAATGATTTTTAAAAGCCTTTTTTCCCTTATTTTTCTTAACTGTCTTGGTTTTTTGTGTACTTTTTTGGGAGTGTATGAATCTGAAGTCTAAACTTCTGCTTCTCTGTATCTTTGAATTTAGTGATGAGGCTCTCCCTTTTTTTTTTGGTTAAAGTGTTTGTCTTTTTTGAATCTTGAATGTATTAGACCAACTAGAAAATCATTGTGGTCAAGTTTATTCATCATGTGAACTAAAATATAATTTGGTAAAGATGTTGGGGTTAGAAAAAAATGGGGACTTAGTCAAAATTCTCAATTAGTTACTGGTGTCATGATCAACCTCAGCTGTGTAACTATTGTTTAAACTTTAAGATTAGTCAATCTTTTAGACTTTGAACTGTCACTGTTTGGCACAAGTAGTTTGAAAAATGTTAGGTCAGTGGAAGGCAAAAAATTGTGTACCTAACAGTTGATATCTTCCAGCTGGACCAGTCTATGCATTGCTATTTAAATTAATGTCTATAAATGTAACTCTGGTTATAGGAATGTGGTTACTTAATCAAAATTCTGCTGTCCCTTTTGTGGCAATAAATTATAATTATGAAGTTACTTCCTCTTAGATAAGCATCGTATATAGAAGATCTCAGTTAAGACTCAAGATTGTGTTTAAGTTAGTACTTTATTGTTGCATTTATGAGGAATGATCTTGGAGTTCTCTGGAATTTTACATGTTAATGATTTTTTTTTTCTTTTTGGCAATGTATAAAAATAAGTGGGGTTAGAGGACAGCCCGTTACACTAAGCTCCAGCTATGTGCGGGAAAGGGCCGGACCACAAAGGTCTATTATTATACGGCTGTTTCCACTGCTCGAACCCGTGACCTCCTTGTCACGTGGCAATAACTTTCCAGTTATGCTAATGTCAAGTGGGATTGACAAAAAATATTTTCTTGAACTTACTAACTTAAGAAACAATTAGGAGAATGATTGTTGATATGCAATTAATTAAGAATTTTTTCCATTAAACAGAAGACAGCACCATGGCTATCAGTGCCACAATTTGGAGACTGGGACCAAAAGGGTGTAATGCCAGATTACTCTATGGATTTCTCAAAGATAAGAGAGAATAGGAAACAGAACAAGAGGGATTTGTCAAGAGCAAGTCTTGGAAATGAGGAAGAGCTCATTTCCTCAACTAACAAAAATGCAAATACAGGCCATCATCACTCAGCCCACAGTGATGATCTCCATTTCCATCAAAACCACTCTCCAACTGTAAGTTCTTTGAATTGCCTGTCTTCTTTACCCTTGTACTTTCCTATTTTTGTTTAATATGGTATTGAATACATGGATCAGACAAGTAGTTGGCTGTTATTAATAAAAGAGTGTCACAAATAGTATTTAGTGGGATACATGTGGTGGGGCCATTGAGGGGAACAATGCTGACTAGCAGGTTGCATGCATTGACAACCTTACATTCTACTAATATAACTATAGTACATTTTCTAAAATAATAAACCAGCTCATGAGAACTTTCAGACAATGGAACAACAATTATTGTACGACCAAATATTTATTTATGTAATTCATCCTTTCTCTCTCTTTTTTTTTTTTTTTTTTTTACCTTTTCTTGAGCCGAAGGTCTATCGGAAATAACCTCTCTACCTTCACCAAGTAGGGTAAGGTCTGCGTTTTCTTTTTGATGCATTAGAAGTTCTAGACTTGCAAAATTGAAACCACTTGAACTTTTTAGTAGATACAAAAGGGAATAAAGCTTGTGTCTCTGGTGCGTTGGTTATGGTTAGGTGCCTGATTTTGTTCTAAGAGGTCAGAAGTTAAAACCTCAACTAGCACATATTTTGCCGAATGTCTACCGGAAACAGTCTTTCTACCTTCTTAAGGTAGGGCTAAGGTTTGTGTACACATTACCTTCCTCGGACCCCACCTGTGGGATTACACTGAGTTTGTTGTTGTTTGATCGAATGTGGTTCATATATTAAATGGTGGTTTAAATTGGGCACAAGTGCTGATCTCATGTGGTCCTTGGATAAGTGCCAAACTCACATGAAAAATATAAGCAAGTTGCAAGAAAGTGATGCTTGCCTTATTTGGTAAGCAACTTTTATTGCCCACAAAAATTCTTTGAGCAAGTATCTATCTTTATTTCTCAAAGGCACATGCAGTGGATGGACCCCTTGAAGAAAATTGAAATAAAAATTAAAACAAGAGAAATAAATAGATGGAAAAAAGTGTCTGGACAGAAAGATTGATATATTGCTGATTTAATGTCTCTTGAGTTGAAATATTTATCGGCAACAACCTCTCTATCTTCTTCAAGGTAGGGGTAAGGTCTGTTTTCCACATATATTAGTATGGTATTCTCATTATTGTGTTTTGAATTTTATTTGACAGACAAGAAGAAGCATCTTCAGCTACTTCAACTGCTGTGTGAAAGCTTGAAAGCTCATGAGATTGATTTCTGCATATTTTTCTAACTTCTTTGTAATGACGATGATAATGTGCCTATCGTGAATTTTATTCCCCCTAATGTTTTTGATGAAACGCTGCTGAGAAGTAGAAAGTATTGTGGCTTTTGATGATCAACTCCTTGTCAAGTATAGGAATTGTGAATGTTGATTGTGATTATAATTCTTTTGTCCTCTGTTTCTTTAGTACACCGATTTAAAAAAAAAAATCATTATTACAAGAAAAATAATATTACAATGATTTTGGAGTTTGTTCAAAATTTGGAAGTCGTTTTTCTTTAAAATTCTTTTGGAACAAATTAAAACGTAAAGGTTAAGTTGAAAATTTTCTCAAGCGCAAAAAGGAAAACAACAGTAAAGAAGAAGAGAAAAGCCTATGTCTCTAAAGTTCTTCAAAAACTGGGTATCAGTTAAATTTTTTTTTAAATGTAAATACAAATTCAATTGGTGGCGCAAATCTGAAAATTTTACCTTTTAAAACAAAACTTGGTTTCGGAACATGCTTTTAGTCTTTTTACAAATCAGAACGTAATGGTTAAATTGAAGATCTTCTCATTATTGGATGGATCCGAAGATTTTAACATTAAAAATTCATCAAGCTTTTCCTTTTTCTCTTTTTTGGAGCAGCTATTTTCTTGCCTCACTACGCTTGTCATACTCACACTAATAAATTTCACTTATTTTGAAATTCCCCTCATCGAATTATTCAAATGATAGTTTTACATGTTATGATATTTGTAAAAAGTAGACAGAAAGCGAGTATTTGCCAAAAGGAATTGATTTTCTATTTTATTGTTTTTTAAAATGGAGATGGTTCAGATTAACTCCTCCTTTCCATTTCTACATTGTTCAAGGAAATAAAAACTTGAAATCAAACACTCAAAAATAGGAGTTCTTACTTGTTTACCTTTTCTAAACGAGAGTATTGGAGCTGACCAATTCTAACGGTTATCCAAGATTTGGAAATCACAATTTTAGTCGTCGTTGATTTTTTGGATTTGCACAATGACAAGACCACCTTTTTGTTCTCTCTTTTTTGGTAACTGAACCAATATTTAAGGGGAAGAGCAAAGTCAACATAAACACAACATGCTTAGGGTCGTTGCTCAGATTAGTTATTCTGGTATTATTTTTTATCCACTATTTGGCATGTTGTATTAAAAAAGGCAATTACATAATTTCTAAGAAGAAGGTATAAGTTATCCCAACACTAATTATCCCACCTCCTACAAGGTATAAGTTATTGCGGCACTAATTTTAATCCCGGGATAACTTATAACAGCTTTGCTAACCAAACAAAGTATTAAGGTGGTATTAAAATTTTATACCAGCACTATATCTACTTATACCACATACCAAACGACCCCTTAGTGTATGAGAAACACACTTGGATAATTTTATCGTCTCAAAAGATTAATTTAAATGCGATGTGACCATTCTCATGATTTTCCTTCTTCCCTAGGTGAGTTCTTTAAGTGTTGTCATTTAAAGTTAAGGTCAAAAATTAAACAAATAGGCAAATTAAAACTCATTACATTTGGTTGATTGTTGAGATCCGGTTGTAGTGTGTGCTCAGATCTCCTCTCCACTCCGAAACGGTGACCTGCTCTTAAATATGAGCCTTCTACCACCTTTATAAACAAAAAATATAACTCCTTTAATTAGAGAAACAATTAGGTAATTCTTTTATGACTGAGTAATCTCACGGATCAGTGACGCATGGTTCAAATTTTGGTGGATAAATGAGCCTGTCCCTCCAGCATTCACTTAAATACACGAGATTTGAACCCGTGATGTGGGCCTAATTTTGACAAATAATGCAGTTACTGCTGACTGACTGGTTTTTTATGCTAGACCCTTAAAATTAACAAAGTTAACCTTCATAAAGTGAAAGTCATATATTAAATGGAAGTAGTATTGGGCAGGTTTGGAAGTCATAATGAATTCTGGCGCATTCAAATCTTGTAAATATTTACTTACCTGCATATTCTGAAAAATCTGACGAAAGTTTAATACAGGTTGCATCAAATTAGATGGGAGCCAAACTAGAGATTTGGAAACTCCTATTCCTAGATTCTTGTTTCGGCACGTGGAAAGCCCTGGTTTACGTAACGGAGATTTGACAACAGATTCAACGTAAAATCATCAAAAACACTAAAAGTTCTCATGGAAAATTTTAGCTCCAGTTGGAGGCAACAATGCATATCAAACAAACAAAAATTTTGCAGTTTCAATTACCACTAACTGCTAACTCGCGCAGGCTTTAGATGATACAGAGACGATTGGCCAGTATGTGCGCAGATTCACCATATAGCTTGTCCGTGACAACATGCACAACAAGATTTACTTTGTTCAAACTAGATCTACCTACCGGAAAAAGGACAACTAAACCAAGGGATGCAATCTAGGACAAACCTCAACATGCGATGAGACCCTTTAGTGCTAGAAATCTGCATCAACTGCAGCGTTCAAAGTACAAGTTCTGCAATCACACCTTCTTGATGATTTGGACGACGTCTTCATCTTCTAGTTCATGTTCCTGGTACAGAACAAAGTGTAAAGAACAGCATTCTAATTGCAGAAAATCTAGGAAGGGACAAGCGACAAAGAAACCAGTGGATAAAATGTAATACACGCAGTTCAGAGTACTTACCCTGCCCACCCTCTGAGGTTTGTGTTTTGCACTTGAACCCCAAACCAGCGCACTGCAGCACCCAAGGCACATGATTGTTAAGAAGACAGAAAATATCACATCATACCAAACCTAAATGTTAACATTCTATGACAAACTATATGAAATCAAATGATGTGAGTCAATGGAAAAAGGTCCTCAAAGACAGCATTATGATCATGCAAGTTATCATAATCGCCTTAGTTCAAATGCTGATTTACCAAGTGAGGGGCAATGATAATAAAAGCTTCGACCCAATGGACCAGGAAAGCATAGAAAATCTATTTTAAAACACCACAACAACTACGCTTCAATACGAAGCAAGTTAGCATCGGCAAAGGCTATTTTAGGACTCGTGACTGTAATCCTATCTGATTTGACCTTCATCAAATTATTTCTTTATCTGAAAATAGACTTGAAGGGATAACAATTATGCTTCATCAATCTTTTGACAGATAGACTTCCTGTTTCTCACCATTAAACAAAACCAAACACGAAAAAGAAGGGGGGAAATGGAAATCAGAGTTTTACTGCCACAAATCCCACAAGCTCAATAAGCATTTGACTAGCAGTGGGTGTGATTTTTAGTATGGTGAAGGTTTGTACAGTCCTAACAATTTATGAGTTTTCCAGTAACTAGCTCAAGAAGCATTTGAATTTTTTGAAGAATGTCAAGGAATCTGTCTGGAGTTTGCAGTATCCTGCTCCTTTAGAGTTTCAGAAAATTGCTGGAAACCTCATACCCCACCGGCCCACTCCCTCCCCCCAGCGATGCCCCGTTCTCCTTTCCTTTGCCATATTCAGGCCACAGGAGAGAAGGTCCTTGTCGAAGTATGCACCATTGTCCCTTGACGCACTTCCAATGCCCTCCTCATGTCTCCCTTGGAAATCCCTTTTCCCTTACTTTGTAAAGAAGAATACCATACTTCCAAAAATTGCCATACGTAAACTCATCCTCTTGACAACACATGTGAAGGGTACTTCTAACATCAATATAAGAAAAGTGTAAAAGAAGAACTGTTGAAAGGAACATACTATTTGAATTGTTTAACCATATCCTTGTGGATTCTGTCACAGAAGTCCTCCACTGTCCTCCTCTTTGATGATAGAATTACTGGGTCCTCATAGTCTGGATTCATTCCCTTCGGTTTGGTGTATATACGGGTTAGACTGAGATATTCCCAAATCTTCTCCAGCAAGCCATCAAGATTCCATTCCAAATGAGCACTGCAGGAAATCATATAAAAAGCATTTATGATAAGATTGATATATTCTTAAGTGAAGAGAAGACATGAACTTAAAATGATTCCAGCAACTTCATTTCTCAGAGAATAAGGCAACGAGAAAACACAACAGAGAACCAAAATGGAAGCATAGATGATGAAAGACAGCACTACAGCGATTAACGAAATTTATCAGGCTTGAATTGAGTGTAACAACAACAAAAACAAGAAGCCCAGTAATTTCCCACAAGTGGGGTCTGGGGAGGGTAAGATATAAGCAACCTTAACCCCACCCTAGAAGGATAGAGAGGTTGTTTCCGATAGACCCTCGGCTGGAGAACGGATGACAAAAGTAATGGCGACAAGAAGGAATGAGTGTAACTTGTAAAACTGTATAATAAGAGCTTCTTATATGAGAGTCTTAGTTAGATCCAGTATGGGCGTAGTCATTCTCTACTACAAAATGTAAGTACTACTCTACTAGAAAAAACAAAAAACATGCTCGGTTATTATCTTACTAAAGTTCAAAGAATCTACATATGTTGTGAGTCTAGAAATATTATGAGATATAATTCCATTAATCCTTCTGAATTCCGACGATGTGATGACAGGAAACCTCACAGAGAAGTAAATGTCACCCCCCCCCCCCCCAAAAAAAAGGTGGTTGTGAACCACAAGCAGGAAATGCATAGAACATTCATATCAATCCATAACTTTTGTAAGAGATCCTTAACCCTGAACTCATGAAGTTCAAGCGCCAAGCCTACGCCATGTGATGGAGCCAATCCAATCGTCCAAAAAGATCGAGCCAGCTAACACCTACTTGCCTCTTTACTGGATGGTCACAGTTGAATCAATGTTTAGTAGAACAACTAGTTTAACTGCACACATTACTTCAATAATGCTTTTTCTTATCGGCTACTTATCATATGATGTTTGCCAACCAAACGAAATCTAGGTCTGACCTTACTGGAAATATCAAAAGAAAAAATATTGACTTGAATAGGGTCAAGGGTCAACTACAACGAGAAGAACAATGTGCCACTCAAATGATGAATGGAGGGAATAAAGGGGCATACACAGCGCTAATCGAGATTTTACCGAGATCGCGGAGTCTAATGTATGTTCATCATCAAGAGTCTCAAGCTATATTGAAGAAGTGCATATATTTTATACACTTTATCGAAGTATTAAGAAGTGCACATTTCTATTAGGCTTTCACCAATTTTTGTCACGGGTTCCTATATGTTGTTATCCATGAAGCTTTTATTTACCGAAATCTGTAAATGCTAGATGAAAAGAAAAAAATGAAACTTAAAATAACGGATAACTACCTGATCGGACAATAGTGTGGAAGTTTATCCAGAATCTCCAGCTCTTCCATTGTGATTTGATCAATTTTGTTCACAACATAGATGCAAGGCGTATATACTCTACTGCCTTCAATGACATCAATAAGGTCATCAGCAGTTGCATCATATCTAAGATGAACATCAGCATTATGTATTCTGTATTCGCTGCATATGGCTTTTACGGTGTCGAGGTCCAAATGAGTATTGGTCACTGTTGATGTTAAATTGATCCCACCCTTCTCTTTCTTCCTGAATGTCAGATTAGGTGGTTCCTTGTTCAACCTAATAAAGGGAAGAGCACCAAGAATCATGAATCAATAGGGGGGAAGGAAAAGCAGATTACACAAGGGGAACGCAAACATTCCAACAGTCTATTACCTAATACCAAATCCCTCAAGCTCTTTCTCGATGAGACGTTTGTGAGTAATTGGTTTTATTGCATCAAGAACAATAAGTATACAATTGCATGTCCTTGCAGTACTGATAACCTGTATTTGTCATCAATCACAAGATAAGTGATATTAAGCCCACCAACTACATCTTAATAAAACAAGAAATGAAGGTTGAAGACTCTCAAGGTTTTATGTCATACACCAATAATCACGAGCACACGGCAATTCATTTATACCTATTTATAAAAGTAAAGAGGATGGGGGACAGAAATTTGAGGGAATGTGACTATTGTTGGCCGTGATATGGTGCATTTAGTTGGCATGCAACACCAGATCATCCTCTTTCTTTGTGTAGTTCTACAATAGCTATCATGTCTTCAATTTCGCCAAAATATTCAGGTCCTTCCTTAGCATAGCTATTCATTGAAGGTACAGTTAGGAAGGGGAAATGGCCAATGTAAAGCTGGATGTAACTGTTGGTTTATCAAGAAGTGGGTATATTTGCTTTGAGAGGTGTGCTTTAGTGGTTCCATATACTTCATTCCAATTTTTTATAATTTCATCCCATCTTATTCCAAACTATTTGGCATTTTTTTATTGGAGAAGAAGTTTAAGAAAGAAAGAATTTGATGCATAAGCTTAATATGTAAGAAGTACCAAAACTAACCTTTGACGTTTGTTTTTATATTCAATGGGGCCTACAACAACTCATGTTAATGGTGAATTAGGAATGTAAAAGTTAAATAGTTTCTACATAACTAGATATAGCATAGTTTACTCATTTTGCGACCAAAAAAGGAAAGAGTTGAGCAAATTAGAATGGAGAGCGTATGCAATGTGGAGAAAATACACAGATTCCTGATTGAAGAGAATTCATTTCAGATACCATTTTCTTGGGTTTTAAATGGATCTACTTGTTGTCTTGGATACAGATTCCTTATAAACTAAATCTCTGTTTTCTTATGAAAAAATATATGGTGCTAAAGAAATAATGAGATAGCTAAGAAGCAAAGACAACACTTTACCTGCCTTCCTCTACCTTTTCCATCCTTGGCACCCTCAATAATTCCTGGGAGATCCAACAACTACCAAACAAATTCGGAAAAGGGATGAGCAAGAGAGTTTTATATTAAGCAAAATTACAGAATTAAACATTATGATTTTTTTTTTATAAGTAGAATTAAACATTATGATGCTTGTGAGATGGATAATCCATAAGATGTCAACCACACACATTAAAGAAAAAGAATAAATAAAGATATCAAGAGTAAAAGCTAAGTAGTCTTTCACTGTTCACCATGTGTCCTTATATACAATAAAGTAGATAAAAGAGTTTCGTGAAGTAGGAAAACTAAGTAATACTTCACTGCCTGGCACCTGCAAGGCTGCAACTTTAGTTTTATTTACATCCTCCCAATTACAGGTATCTTTTGTGCGGACTAATGCTTATTTTACTGCTTGCATGGTGAATAACACACCTTTGCCACCAGGCAGGAGCTCTCTCTTAACATGTACAATTAAAAGAAAAGATAAAGGGGGAAATGACGAATGGAAGTTAATGTTGGGTTAATTTTGGGCAAACGGATCAATTCAGCCTTGAGGAGCCCAATGCTATGAATAGATACCCTTTTTTAAAAAAGAAATCAAATTTATTAGAAGATGGTACATAACACCTCACAACTTAATCACCACTTGACAGCCAAAACCAAAGGGCAGCCACATGCACAAAACATCTCGCGTTTATGCAGGGTCTGGGCAAGGCAGCCTACCCAAAGTTTTCCAATAGAATGGTTTCTTACACTGAAAGCATTTTATGTCATTCATTCCACATCCACTTATCTTTGACCATTTTCCTTCTCGAGGAAAGAGCTTCAACATTCGGGCCAGCTTAGCTCACTTGGCTCCAACTATGATATACATTAAAGGGGTGTTTGGTTTACCTCACTAATAGAAATAATCTCAATACAAAATTCTGCTAAGTTAATATCATGTTTGGTTGATTGTAAAAGAAAAGATAAATGCCACATAACTCTATAAAGCAGTTGGTTGGCCTTATTATATTCTGCATTGTTAATACATGCATAAGTTATGGGGTGTGCACAACCAGGCTCAGACACCACGCTTATCAAAAAGATACATGCATAATTTATGTGAAAATATATATGTTAATTTATGCAGAATAGAATGTAGAATAAGAATTCATGTATTAGCCATACATGGATAAGAGTACAACAACAACATACTCAATGTATTCCCACAAATGGGGTTTAGGGGGTAGTCTGTACGCAACCTTACCCCTACCTGGAGCAGGTAGGGAGGCTATTTCCGATAGACCGTCCAAGGCACGCATAATCACAACAGTAAGAAAAAGCAATATAGTAGTGAAAAAGTCATGAAAAGAAGCAGTAACAACAACAAGATAGCAACAAAACCAACGTAGAAGCAACATCAGGTAGTAATAGAAATCTAAGAATAAGACAAAACGAGAATAATACCAAAACTACTGGTATGGAAAGGAAGCACGCTCTACACCCTACTAACATTCCACCCTAATTATCGACCTCCACAACCTCCTATCAAGGTCATGTACTCGGTAAGCTGAAGATGTGCCATGTCCTGCATAATCACCTCTCCTCGATACTTCTTCGGCCTTCCTCTACCTCTCCTAAAGTAACTAAGAGTAACTAAGATGTGCCATGTCCTGCCTAATCACCTCTCCCTTATACTTTTTCGGCCTTCCTCTACCTCACCTAAAGTAACTAAAGTTATCTATCCCTACATTACTATTCACGGTATAAAAACTCAATTTATTGTAATCTCTACATAACTAGTCCGTGAAGAAATGACCAATAAGAGTACATTAAAGGCTCTTCCAGAAAAGGGATTTTCGGCTTCATCAGTGCTTCACACTAATGGGGAAGAATGCTCTCGTAATAAGGCAAGCCACGAATAAAATAGCAAGCAGTGGAGGTTCTTCTAGACAAAACTATACTGATACTCACCCTAGAAAGAATAGCAATAATTGCTTCTACATTAAAAAAGGAAACACAGTCACAACATTTAGCAAGTGATTCTAACATATAAGAGAAAACAATATACAGATGAAACCACAACTCTTTATTCTTGTACTTTTTTTCGGATAAGTGAAACCACATCTTATACCTAGTATAAACATATTCATAATTTAAACATACTCTTCCTTAAAGCTGAGAAAAGGTACACTTCAAGAGACCAACAAGTTAGATAACCTTTTTTATAAGGTAATCAACAAGTCAGATAACTGCCTTCCATAGTTCAGAGTTCACGCCTCCTCTGATTATCTGGATTATATAATTGAAGCTAAGACATTTACAGAAACAACCAGTGGCTAATAAAACCTAGAAGCACATTTCAAGGAAGAAAATCCTCCTTGAGAAAATCTCATTGCAGAGTAACTAGTACAAACTGTATTCAAATTCTCCTTATTTATTATTACAAAAATCTATTTTCAAATATTTCTGGACACAAGTGCGCAAAATTAGTATCTGTATCCAAATAGATCAATTCTTACTCTCATAAAAAAAATAAAAAAATAAAAAAAGCGGTAATCCTTTGAGTTGATAGTTTTATTTGCACAAGTAGCAAACTATAGTGTCTTCTAAAAAATCATGAAGGTTTATGATACCTGGATTTTAGCTCCTCGATACATGATGACACCAGGAATGCACGTTAAGGTGGTAAATTCATATGAAGCAACCTGTCAACCACAGAAGGGCTTGTTAGGAGAAGGCGTAATGAAACCGTCTTGCAACGTGAAGTCCCATCATGTTTTTCCTAGAAGTCAAGCCAACAAAACAGGTTATATTTGCTTGGACAGCCGATTGTAGTAGCAGAAATAACTCGTAATCAAAGGCAATTCACTACCTAGAAAAGAGTTGATTTTGCTTTGAAGATACGGATCTGATAATGATCAATAACTACCTATATATTTTCTTGCCACTACTTTTAAAGTACATTTGGTGGTCCCCAAAAAGTTAGAGCAGAAAAACAATCAACTCGAGAAATAACCGATTTGCTTATTTCTTGACCTACGAGAATCAAAATTAAATGATGAAGCCTTTTCTCCCCTTGAAAAGTAAATTTGTCTCTGATTGGCAGATCAAGTTAAACCTTGTGATAATAAATTAGATCTAACTTTCAAAATAGACAGCATAGTGAAAAGTAAAAACTCTTGCCCCCTTCCATCCATAAAAGAGGGAAAAAGGAAAGAGAAACAAAAATAATAGATAAGGGAAAATGTTATGTAAGAACAACAAACTGTGTTTCCAGAATACAAATCTGAGCAACTTGTACTACTATATTTTAAAGAGATTATAGCTAAGACAGCGCACGTATTCAAATTGACTAAGTTAAGCATTCAAATCGATCAAGTTAGGTACCCTGATTAGGAGACTGTTACATAACTATATTGCCACTTCACCTTCCCTACTCTGTGATAAACTCAAGAATAGACTCACCAACTACCAAATCACTAAGCAAGCTGTGGAATCACAATTTGACATTAAAAGAGTAACTTCCATGTGTAAATGTCCAACTTATATTCAACAAGTTCTATGTTTCGTGCGTAGATCCATCTTTTCAGACTCTAGTTCATGCCGATACTACTACAGTACAGCCCATGACAATGCTACTGTGGCGAAGAAGATCCACATCTACCAATTATATATTTGTAGGTAGGAAATTTATATATCTTTCATGACTCATCAGCACCACCTACTTTTAACAGCGTAACCTACCCACAAAGACTTCAAGCCAATTCTTTTCTGTTGAATGTTATTAGCCACAAAAGCTAAAAGGAAAGAAGAATTCAAGAAAGCATCTTTATGCATCTGTAGAGCTAAAGTATTTACTTCATTGCCCTCATGTTTCAACTATTCTAGAAGATTTCTCACTTTTTATTAAAATTTTCAGTTATGCTCCTTGCTCAAAGATTATATTTCCCAGACTTCATAGAAAAGACAAAAATTTCCTAAAAGAATTATATATGTTCCTTTTTTTACTCTTAAACATTCATTCTGGAGTTCCGTAAATCATTTAGGAAGAGTACAACTCCTTTTTTGAAGGATAAACTTCACTTTGCATCATTGTACTGCTTTCTCATCAATATAAAGTTCGTTACTCATATAAATCTTTTTCCTTCCAAAACCATATGAACTTTCAAACCACAAAATTTTGAAATTCTATCTGCCAAGTCTTATCCTCTTAAAGAGCATATGAGCCAGAGAGATCACACTCATCTCCTCTAAAAGGGGCTGACACAGAGTACAACTGTAAAAGGGGCACATTGAACAAATCTACAGCGTTCAGAAAAACTAAGTGTCGTTATATGGTAAACCCACCGACCACCACCCCCTCCACACCACGGGGCCAACCGTGGCTTTTCCACTTTTTCCCCTTGGTAAGTTGCACCTTGATCTCATGGTTCGAGCTGGAGGTCCCTTCCACTCGACCAACCCTCTTGTAAGAATTCAGCCAAATTTTAATTGGAATGTCATTTAAATATAGTTTACACATGCTTCTCGTAAGCTAATCTGATGCTTGATACTCTGACAAATATATCGGGTGGATATTTATTCATGGTACTGCCTCTACTACAAAAGAGTTGCCATCATTTCCTCATAATTATTCCATGAAAAAGCTGATCTTTCAACTGAAAAGGTTTCCGTAAGCTATTTGACACTTAAAATTCAAACTTCTAAAAAGCTAATACAAAACCCTTTTTCATAATTACAAAGATGACAAAATTTCACCTCTTATCGTACACTATTTTTTATAATGTAAATAATTATATTAATGATGGGGGAAAACCCGTATACAATCCGTATACTAAAAAAGTAAAGAACCTACACTGCAATATGGTTCTCTACAAAAGAAACTCAATCATCTCTATACACATATGGACCTCCTGGGTGAACCAAAAAGAAACTACAAACAAGAGACTGTTTTGCAGTTTTCTTATCTACACTTCTGTTAGTCGAAAGAGAATTCATGAACTAAGAGAATCAAAGTACTAGATAACGCACTTAGAAATCACTGGATGGTTACACACCTCAGAAAAAGTTCCAGTCAATTTGTTCAAGAGTGTCGACTTTCCAACTGAAGGAAAGCCCACTAAACCCACTCTTGCATCACCACTTTTTGTAACATCAAAACCTTCTCCAGCTCCACCACCACCTTTTGATGTAGGAGTAAGAAGCTCCCTTCGAAGTTTTGCCAGTTTTGCCTAGCCATGCATTGCATCACAAAAGTATTAGTTTGTAGTGAAAACTAATTATAAAATAAAATAGTCATAGCAAGTAATTATAATTTTTATGCATGTTAACATTTCAGAGATGAATGAGTGTGCGAAAATAAATACTTGTTTTTCCATGTTTACTGCACATATCTCTAACCAAAGCCTAATGCAGAAATTCTGATATTATACCAATTAGACTTTCGGAAAAGAAAAGAAATCGAGTTTTGGAGTTAGAGATGTGTTATTATGCTGTCAAACCACATCAACAGTTATAGACAACAAGATGTCCTGTGCTAATCTGAGAAGCTCTTGAAGCTCCCTTGGACAGTTTGCGGGTTTTGCCTAGCCATGCATTGCATCACAAGACAACTAGTTTGTAGTATGAAAAGCTAATTGTACTATAAAATAACCATAGCAAGTGAATATAGTAAAATCTCTTCGTATTGATGGTAAATTTACCTAGTTTTTTTAGCATGTTGCTATTTCAAAGATGAATGAGTGCGAGAATACTCGTTTTATCCCACGTTACTGCATCTATGACTAACAAAAAACTAATATCATAATTCTGATACTACACAAGTTGGAGTTTTGGAAAAGAAAAGAAATAGCAAGTTTTGGAGTTAAGAGATGTGTTATAATGATATCAAACCACAGTAACAGTTATATATAGGAAAACTATCCATGCTAATTCGAGCAGCTCTAAACAGAAAATGCCGCCAGTAATGGAAATGAAGTGAACAACAAGAAGTAGGTCAAGCAATTGGAGCCAAAGGGAGTATAGGATTAAAACATAATTCGATGACTTTCTATCACAGAAAGAGTAAGAGGGTGTTTGTCTAAGCTTATAAGCTGTTCAAACTAGCTTATAAGCACTTTTCGGCTTATCTAAGCGTTTGGTAAAGTTAATAGTGCTTATAAGCCAAGTGCTTATAAGTAAAAAATAAGCCAAAAGCCATAAGCTGGTCCACCCCCAGCTTATGAATTTTTAGCTTATAAGCACTTTAATTTTGACCAAGATTTTTACTATTTTATCCTTAAAATATTCCTTTTTAAAATAAAATTCCTACATCGATACTCACAGTCCCAAGTATTTTTTTCAACCTGAACCGGCCTCTTCAAGACTGCAATTCTCATTGACTATTTAAGATAAGCAAATTCTCTATTTCTTTGCATATTTATATCTATGTGATTGTGTATGAATCTTTGAACTGTATGTAACAAATGAGGGCATATCAAATTTTTGGTGTATTATTTTCTTAGTGTTGTGGTGATGAAGACGGTGTTTCTTTCTCTTCAAATATTTTGTCCTATTTTTATTTTTTACCGAGAAACTTTTGTCAATCTATTAATTATTATAACTTATGATTATATGCGTATCATAAAATAAATTATATTTATCATAAAAATTATCTTAGCTAAGCACAGTTGCATTTAAAATAAAATAACAAATAGAATATTTTGTATTTGAATCAATCTTGAATCTAAAATTTTAAAGAAATTATGTCCTTATAAGTGTAAACATTTCTAAGGTTATTTAAGTCATTTTAACAGAAAAAGAGTTTATCGGCACTTTCTTATCAAATACTGCAGCAACTTATCATCAATTTCAGCACTTGTACCCAAATGGAAAAGTTGCTTCAAATTAGCTAATCCAAACGGGCTCTAAATGGAAAAGTTGCTAATAAAGAGGAAAAGAATATTAGAATATATTTTCATAGTAAATGACAGAGGATGCATTATGTAATTCAAGAAGATAAGATCTAAACTAGCATTAAATTTGCGCACTATCTAAATATCTCCTTATATGTCTTAAAGAACCCAGGCGTTTGTAAAACAGATATTCTCATATCAACCAGCATCTAAACTAGAGAAAAAAACTAAAAGCATTGGAAGATTATATATGCACGGTATCTTGACAAACCTAGGGCATTTTTTTTTGGGGGGGGTTGGGGGGGGGGGGGGGGTTGCAATTTTTAGGACATAATATTTCAACCCGATAATTACATTTGGACAACAGAAAGACACTAGACCCATATTTACTAGCATCAACCTATAATATGACATTTTAACAGAAAGCATGATAAGCAAAAGAATAAATTAATTTTTTGGTAAGAAATTATTTTCCAGTTGTTGGTTATGTCTCGTGTATGGTTAAGAGTCTTGATTATTAAGCTGATTGTAGAAAAACAAACAAAGTCCAAATATAAATTTAGAGTGATGTAAGCTCATGACATGTAAACAAATCCAAGAATGTGAAAAATAATACTTCCCTTTGTCTACAATAATGAACATAAAACATAAGCAACCCAACCGCATATCAATGGCCTGACATAAATTTGTGTAACCTCAGAAATTAACCAATCAAATATTTGTGACTGTGCTACCTTTAACAAACCAAGATGATGAGCAGTAGCTTTGTTCTTTTGGGTCTTAGCCATCTGCAAGCAAAGAGACAATTTCTTACTTTCTAGTCATCAGTAATATCTATTTGGCATAAAGAAATAAAGGTGTCATATGGCCAAAGGCATAATTGAGTGAATACAAACTGAAAAAATAAATATCTAGAATATAATGAAAAGAGGTAATCAACTTAGTTTACTCTGCTTCTCTAATAGGTATGATTCAAATATATATAAGAAGAATCGAATAGATCTATTAATATGGATTTTTCCTCTTTGACTTTAGATGAATGAACATTGAAAGTTCCAGATCCACACAGCACGTTCAAAGTCTTAATTTTTTATTATATATAACAATTAACCAAAGCTAATGGTGGATCAAGAAAGCACTCACTAGAGCTGATTTTGTTTTCAAATTAGTTAGGATATAAGAGTGAGGGCAAATGGATTTAAATCTACGAGATATGTTAGGATAGCTCCATTTACGAGTGGACTTAAAAGGTCCAATACTTATTTCTCAGGTTTCAAAATTATTAGGTTTCAAAATTATTGGGTTTCACCAGGACACCTGAAACTTGATTCTCCATCATTTGATGACAGCCACTATGCTTTATGCAACATAATAAACTACCAATTTGGAAAATTATCTCGAGACGGGGTCAAACGAAGCAAAAACTCGCACTAAACCATATAAGTTTATCCAAACCTTGCTATTTAGTAAGTAATACTTATCAAATTATGGACTCAGAATGAGACTTCTTATGACGGTGGTGTCTAGACCAGTTTGCGTGCACCTCGACCTCAGATTATTCCACCTGGTACCTGCTACCTCCTACCAGCAAAATACCAGGTAACTTTGACTACCACAAATGGGAAGAAATCACCTAATTCTATTGAGATTTGAACCAAAGACCTCATAGTTCTACTTGGGACCCAGAATGATATCTTTCCCATTCCATTGCCATTTATTTCTGAAAATATTCCATTATAGAAAATCAAGTATATACTTGTCCTTTTGTTTAGGAAATATAACCATTATCCATTCCCGTTTAATTTTTCTCATTCTGTCTTTTCCATTTCTCGGTTAAAATTTCATTTATTTTTTATGCAAAAAGAATTAAGTTACTCATACAGCTATAAAAAAAGCTTGATACTCTACTCTGAAAATTAACTAATGCACAAAAAATCACCCTTTTTAAAATATCATAAAGCTCTATAACTAAAAATGTCAATTTTTTAAAATAATTAGCAGAAAACTGATACAGTAATAGCTAAAATTGAAATGATTAATTTCATTTAATCATCTGAGTAATATATTTTTTCCAATTTAAACGATATAAAATAATAAATCGAGTGTTTCTTTGATACCTCATCTTCGATGTCTTTGATTTTCTGCATAACGGTCGCCATGGTTTGGTGGATTCGAACTCTCTGGAAAGTTTCGACGGAAGAAAGGGGCAGAGAGAAGAGGGACTCTAAAGTTTAAAGACAGCGCTGAGAATTTAGGAGTTTTCCCGAGTGTGTGCTTTTGAGGTTTAGTGACGGAGAAAATGACAAAAATGATCCTTATATTTGGTGTAGATTTAAAATGGTCTCTTAATATGCTTTTGAGTAGTTCTGATCCCTTAAGTTTGTTAAAATGAACACTTTTGGTCTTCCTAAAAATTTCACTCCTTTCGAGTGATGCGACAAAGTTTGACTTGGTATAAAAACTTATGATTTTAAAAGCTAAAAACTTGTGGGATAATAACTTTTATATGATTATAAAAGTGTAATGATCTAAAATTTCACTTAGTCGTGATGACACATATCCCCAACATGCTAGGTAAAGTAAACAATAAAAAACATAACTCAAATAAAAAAGATTACCATTAATCAATAAATAAAATGGCGAAAATCCATATTACTATTTCAAAGATTGGTAATACAAGTTATAAGCCACTAAGATTTAGGTTTACAATATTGGTCCGAAGAAAATATAATATCTGCTTGAATATACATAAATAGATGTCCAAATCCTAGTCATGAACAAGGTGGTAGCTTCCGGTTGCAACGCGAGTACATCCTTGTTGCTAGCCTTCGACGTCTACAATATCTCAACTCTAAAATCTGCACGCAATGTGCATGTAGAAGTGTAGTATGAGTACATCCGACGTTATGTACTTAGTAAGTATCTTGATTAACCTTGGTGAAGTAGTGGCGAGGTTTTTAAGTCAATGATACTCGCTAATATAACCTGTGCAATTCGTAAGCAAAAAAAATAATAAGAGAAAAGACAAGTAACAGGGAAAGAGCCGAACAAGGGAAATAGCGAGTATGATCAAACATAACAACCAACTCTTTCTCAATAAACGTATACAAGATATCAAATCAAATAGTATGACAACACCCTTCGTGTTTTTACTTCATCCTCACCAAGCATATGTATATATGTCTAATCGAATGGAATGGCAACACCTTCATACTTTTATCTCATCATCATCAAGCATAAGTATAACAACACCAAACAAGGTAGAAGGCGTATAACTAATAATAAAAATAAGGTAGAAGGCATAAATGTAACTACTAATACAAGCAAAGTAAAAGGCATGTAGATAATAATAACAAACAAGGTAAGAGACATGCAAATGACAGTAGTAAACAAGATAGGAGGCATAGATGTAACAACAACAACAAGCTATATACATTATCCTTAATTGGTTTAATGGGTAGGCTTCTTAGAAATTCTTATACTCTACAAGTTTGCGGCCGAACAAGTATTTAAGCACATGCCTTCTTTAGCTGCACTAGTATGGAGAGTAGTGCATTATAGAGTTTCATTAAACGAAAAAAAAATTAATTCGAACATTTTTTTAATATGCGTGAAATTTGGCATCTGACTTAGCTAAAGTTTCTGAAAAATCAACCATTACTAGAGGTAGGCCATCAAACACTCAGCAGACTTAGGCCATTTGCAGTTCTAGTCAACACTGGAAATGTATACAAATACATAAAGAAATTAAGCCAAGCAAAAAAGAAAAAGTAACAGACTTCAAAATGCAAATGGTTGAAAGGACTTTCTTCAGATATCTGAAGTTAGCTTTTATTGTGCTCTATAGATTTGATCTGCTTTTATAGCCTCTCTTTTTCCATTGGCATAATACATCGGCAGCCCATTAAACTTGTCCTCACTTTTCACGATAACACTTAATATTGAGTATGTTCCATTTGAACCTTATAACAAGGTTATTATTGTGTCACTTAGACATAAAAAGACACACGGGCCACCTTGCGTGGGAATCACAGATGTTTAGCGCGTTCGCATTATAAAAAAGACTGACATGGACTATTCCAACGGTAAAAAACCAAACCCCACACTATTTCTTGTTTTATCCCCTTTCTCCATTGTTATCTTCTCACAAGCCCTAATTTCTCTCAATTTTAACTGAGCTAAATTCTTCATCAAGTAGTAAAAATTGGAGCTTTTTTATCCTCAATTTGAAAGAACACCATCCTCCTTAGTCGGATTTTTAACTTAGTCTTTCCTACCAGCGTCTCTTAATTTTTGTTCGAATAATGTCCCAAAATACCGAAAGGGTTAACTGGTGTCGATGTGGTCGTCCGTGTGAACTGAAAATTTCATGGAGTGCTGTTAGCCCAGGAAGAAGGTACTTCGTATGCAAAATTGGCAAAGTAAGTGTATTACGCAAAAAATTCTTTTATACAATTTATTTGTCATTGATTTATGTCAGTTCATTTTTTTTATTTTTTGAAGGACAATGGGGGTATTAATATTTTAGATGGTTTGAGGACGAGTTTCCTGAGCAAGCGAATAGAGTTATATGGGGTTTATTGAAGAGAGTGAATGCATTTGATCGAGAAAGAGATCGAGCAAAAAATGGAGGATCACAGTAGTGTTGTTGTTCTACTCGTGGCCTTAATCATATGGCTTTATTGTGGTTCTTGCTCTTGTTGATGGACGGTTCTATTTGGCTTTGGTCTGTTATGAGTTACTGGGAAAATCGTTTGTAATTTAGGCTGGTTAATGTAGTTAGTATCTTGCGTTGAGATCCTATTTTGTATAATTTCTGGGAATTTTTGCTCTACTTTTGTTTATTGGTGTTGTACTTGGGATGGTAAGGATCATATTTTGCGTAAGATACTGCCTTATCAATGCAATGTATGGTTTTTGTCAAAAAAAAATTGCGATTCTTTAGTGTTTACTGTTGTTGCACTCGTATCAGTTGTTTTTGTTCAGCTAATTTTGTTTAAAAATGTATCGGTTGTTTTTGTTCAAAGATGGTGCAAATCAAATCTAGTTCATTGCAAATGCCTTATGAATGGAATGGAACTTAGTTCAGTTCCAAAAGTTACAAGAAGTACTGCAAATTACAGAAGTGCAAATTACATAAGTGCGTATTACAGAAGTGCAAAAGGAATGGAACTTAGTTCATTGCAAATCAAAGAAGTACTGGCATATTACATAATCCAGTTCAAAAATATAACAGTGAGTGCATCAAACTACATTCAACAAAAAAAGCAAGTTTTAACAAAACCAAGTGCTGCATATTACATAATCTTGATTGGTCTTTTTGGGGCTTGTTTATCCATGATCACTTGAGTTGAAGACTGAGATGGTGCTTGTGGTCCAACTTTGTTTCTTCTATTTGCATTCATTTGGTGCAGTTGCGAAGTAGTAATAGCATCTCTCCTCGTAGAAACTAAGGGTCCACCAAACTATATAGAGAATTAGGTTCTCTATTAGTTCCCACAGAATGCACACACACAACAGTAAGTAAATGACACAATAGAGTTTTACGTCTAAAACTCTCAGCTCACGGGGATTAAAAACCACGATCCACCCTCGTAGGATTTCAACTTCATAACTGAGCAAACTTCCGGCTACAACCTATTGTAACCTAGAAATTAACCTCTTAATCCCTCACTAACTTGTAACCACTCTATTACGAGCCCCTTTGTAATAACTCTATTACAAAGCTTACAACTCGACTAACTCTAGCCAAGACACAATACAAGGTTCATGGTTTTACAAAAGGTTTCCTACATAATGTTGCTGACTAAGCTAAGTAGGAATTATAAGTAAATTGCTTTAACAAAGGTGCAACACTACTAATTACATATAATGACTCGATACGGGAAACTGGTCCTTCGTTATGTTGTTCTTTGTTCTTGATGCCCTTGAAAATCACTTGCTAGATTGACACAACTTGAGAGAATGCTTGATGAATTCTAGGATGTGCAAGTGTGATGTTTTGCCTTTGCTTCATGTTAATATTACGTAAGTGACATCAGTTGAATGATGCAAGCATGTTTGGTACAAGGGCATTCCCCATAAAGTGACTGCTGCACTGTTTGCACTATTGCGTGTATAGAGAAACAGTTGCAGCGACTTTACAGTTGTGGGGGTTGACTGGTGCAGTCAGCAAGGGAATTGGTATCCATCTGTTCCCTCTGTTGTTTCTTTGACTCTGAATTGTTGAACCATGTCCCCGACTTGAGACTTGTTGTTCTTGAGTACTTGAGGATGTGGATTAGGTCCCTTGTCTGGTTCTTAACATTAAGTTTGTTAGATAATCAAAACATAACAGGATGCTTAACCTATCATCTCCCATTCCTTATACATTACCAGAAGAATCTTCCTCAACAGCAGCAGCCCCTTCCCCACCAATAACAGTCTCAAACTCTTCAACTGGAGGCTTTTCAACAGGTTATGATCCATTTATACTGTCTGGACCATCTTCTGGTGTTGCCCTAGATGGATTATTTATTATGTTGTTACTTTCTTCAACAACCTCTGGCCCACATAAATATCCAATTGGGACCATACTATCAGGAATTATCTCAACAACATGTGAAATGTACAAGTCTAAAATACCCTCCTTACCGTAACAAGCAATATTATATAGTTGTTCATCATTTTCCACCAAGACAAATTCTTTGGTATTAGGGTTAAAGACATAAAACACCAACAGTTGCATAACCCAACCCCCTTGTGTAATATTGAAGTTCAAACAGGGAAAAATGATCTTTGTCAATAGAAAACTAATTTATCTCTATATTAGTGACATATTTGGCACCTGGAGATTTAGTGAATATCCTACCATAGTGAAAGCGGACAAGATTGTATTCGTTCACTGACATGCTTTTAACCTAAAGTGAACAAAAAAAAGCAACGCGTGAGCACAGTCAGCAAGATTCGAAGAAAAGAAATGAAAAAAAACCTATTTTTATATCTGCAATTCCCAAAACACCATTACTAACACAATAACCCTAATAAATAACTGAAATCTCAGTAAAAGAGTAACTCGAGACATACCAGTAAAGGAGTAACTCGAGCCAACACTCTTGCTAAAGGCCACCCTAAATAATCGACTTCACAATTTCTTCTGATAAAAAATTGCTAATGATAAACGAAGACGGGAGTGAAATTTGGACGAATTTCGGGTTGTTAGCTTCGATCTTTGATGAGAAGTAGCAGATGATTCCAGAATCTTCTCTAATGGAGCAATCGATTTTGGGAGGGGAAGAGGATAGACGAA